TTGTCTGGAACGCAGCATTAGGTTAACATTTCAATAAACGAGCGTGTACTACAATTACGAGCCATTCTATAAGGTGAAATTTCAGCACTTGACAAACGATAGCGACTCCTAAGTAGAACTTAAAGCACGGCTACGTGCGATTGCGTTAAGTGCATTTTTGGGAATATTATGTAAAGTATAATATTATATGTATAGCTATAATAAAATATAATATAATATAATATAACATAACATTGTATTATAGTTATTATATCAGAGTTGTCTGGAACGCAGCATTAGGTTAACATTTCAATAAACGAGCGTGTACTACAATTACGAGCCATTCTATAAGGTGAAATTTCAGCACTTGACAAACGATAGCGACTCCTAAGTAGAACTTAAAGCACGGCTACGTGCGATTGCGTTAAGTGCATTTTTGGGAAACGCACATGAAACGACATCGAGCGATCGTAAAATGACTCGTAGAAAATGCTCTAAGGCGCTAAGATCAATCGTTATCGAGAAACGGAGCCCTGGGCCCAAAAGCTTCGTAAGCCTAAGAAGTTTGTAAAAACGATCGTACGGCTGAACTTAATATTACGGTCTGTTTCCCAAAAGCATTGTAACTTAAGTAGCACTTGAAAATCATCGTAGATCTACGAGTGCTCTGGAGTAATCGTAAAGCCCTAAGTGCATCGTAAGAAGAAAGATTTATGCGGTCACCTGCAGGACAACCGGCAGATTGCACCTTTAACTTTATTCAAGTGCAATGTGATTATAATATAAGGATATGATTGTACTTTGTTCACTTTATTACTCGTTTTTGTTGTTGTTGTTGTTGTTGTTGTTTTAAAATTAATTTAAAAATGAAATAATTAAAAAGGGCTGAAAAATAGAAATACACATCTAAATTAAATTACTGAACAAATAATTTAAAAAAATGAATAAAATAAATAATGTAGGAAATATGCTTCAAAGACTGGGGGGAAAAAATCTGTCAATGACTTGCACGAAAACCAGCAATGTATTGGACCCGGAAATAATGTCTTTGTGTGTGTGTGTATATATATACATACACACACCCCATCATCCATTGCACTGATTGGCCACAGCACTGATTGCACACAACTGTAACCAATCACACATTCACTATATAACACTCTATCTCACTCCCTTCAACTGCCGAGTATTGTATGCGCTTATCGCCAGCAGTGATAGCTACTTTACAGAGCTCTCGTTAGTTTCCCAGTGTCTTTGTGTGTGTGTGTATATATATACATACACACACACACAGAGACGTTATTTCCAGGTCCAATATATATATATATATACAGTATATATATATATATATATATACAGTATATATATATATATATATATATATATATATATACAGTACGCCCTTAATAAAGCTTGCAAATGGATCCGTACGTCTCACGTCTTGTTTGCCCCGTAACACATACATACAGACATACATATATAAAGTGTATTATATATTATTATGTAAAGTATAATATATAATATAACATTGTATTATAGATATTATATCCGAGTTGTCTGGAACGAAGCATTAGGTTAACATTTCAATAAAAGAGCGTGTACTACAATTACGAGCCATTTTATAAGGTGAAATTTCAGCACTTGACAAACGAATAGCGACTCCTAAGCAGCACTTTTTTGCGATTGTGTTAAGTGCATTTTTGGGAAACGCACGTGAAACAATAACGAACAATCGTAAAATGACTCGTAGAAAATTATCTTAAGCTCTAAGATCAATCATTATCGAGAAACGCAGCCCAGAACATTGTAGCACTGCGAATGTCACCATTTAGGGCAGGGCATATTCTCTCCATCATATCACAGTGCAATACTGACACCGAGCAGTCTACTGTTCATTTCAAACAACCAATATCTAAAATATTATGAAAAATTCTATATGGTTTAGCAACTCTATACCGTGAACAGTAAAACGTTACATCACCTGTCCAACCCATTACAAAAATGAAAATACCATTATGAAATTAATTTTCACTATAAATATGAACTGAAAATAAAGCAATTTACACGGATCATGGACATGAATACACTCAAAGTCCTTATATTGCAAAGACAAAATGTGTGATTGCACATAAAATAAGCTAAAGTAAACAGTATGAAATGCACACCTGAAAAAAGCAAAAATTAAAAATTATGGGACTTAATTTCATGTAATGTTGACATGCTTTCAGTAATTTTCGACCACTGACCGTGTTTTTTAATGAAAAAAAAGAATGAAAAAAAGAGTTAATTTCAGCACCAACGCAATGAACAGCTCCCTGCAATCTGCGTTTCTTACAATACCATCAGACAATAAAAGCTGTCAAACAAAGTAGGCTACTGAAAAGGATTTTGTGCTGTAAAATAACTAAGGCATGCCATATTTCATAAATGACAACTATTAGGTTTAACAATATTAAAGCAAAACGGCAGCTGTAGCCTAATTAGAATGAATCTGTTATTCTTACCTCTCCAGAACCTCTCCTCCTGCGATCTGGGATCACTAGAGTATTTCCATTACTGCCCGGGACTATAGTAGAGCCGACACTCATTCTGGGTCCAACTAACATGTACCGTTTGTCTCCAGATCTGTACTGGATGCTGTGACACAGAGTTCCGTCGTAATTTGTATCCTGTAAATACTTGGACGAATAGTCTGTCGATTTAGAGCACTGCATTACAATCAACACGATGATGCTGATGACAAAAAGCACTGAAATCGAACCCAAAGTGATGATCAAATAAAATGTCACGTTGTTTTCCTCCTCGTCTTTTACTGCATTTTTAATATCAGAAGCTGCAAAAGCCTCTTTGGGCTCCACAACTTTGACAATCACAGTCGCTGTCGCTGAGAGAGAAACGTTCCCATTGTCTTTGACCAGTATGAGCAGTTTATGCTGGGCCTCGTCTGTTTCTGTGAATGAGCGAAGGGTCCTTATCTGTCCTGTATAGCGGTCCAAACCAAAGAGACTGTGGTCACTAACTTCCTGCAGTGAAAATAATAACCAGCCGTTGTATCCTATATCTGCGTCATAGGCTCTGACTTTAGTCACCAAATGACCTGCGTTCACATTACGAGGAATCTCTTCCACACCCTCAGCAGAACCGTTAGCGCTGACTGGATATAAGATCACTGGAACGTTGTCGTTCTGATCCAGAATAAACACGTTCACTGTCACGTTACTGCTCAGAGACGGAGTTCCAGAGTCTGTAGCGAGCACGTGGAACTGGAACGTTTTAGCCGTTTCAAAGTCAAAGCTCTTTAACGAATAAACAATACCTGTCTCGGAATTTATATTTAAGAAAGATGACAAATCATTCTGTGTGCCATCACCTCTAATTATGTGATAGGATATGACGGCATTTTCAGCTGTGTCTCGATCAGAGGCGCTTACTGAAATTATGGAGGAACCGGCTGCATTATTTTCCATTAAATATAGATTTAGAGGATTTAATAAAAATTCCGGCGCATTATCATTCACATCAGAAATCTGAACGCTTAAAGTGGTCGATGCACTCAAAGACGGCTGACCTAAATCAGAGGCAGTTATTGTAATGTCATATCGTGAATTCATCTCTCTATCTAACCGATCTTTTGTCACTAAAGAGTACATATTGTCTTTGAAAGAAGGCTTTAGTTCAAAGGGAATATTTGTGTTTAACTGACAAATCACTTTACCATTGATCCCTGCGTCTTTATCAGTCACACTGACGAGAGAAATTACCGTTCCAGGTTTAGAATCTTCAGGGATGTTCTTAGAAAGCGATGTAATCTCAATCTCAGGCCGGTTGTCATTCACATCAATAATCTTAATAACAACTCTACAGTTTGCAGACATTGGTGGATGCCCCTTATCTGATGCCTGAATATCGAGTTTATAAACCTCTGCATCTTCAAAATCAACTTTCCCCTTTACACGTATTTCACCCGTAACCTGATCGAGCTCAAAAACCTCGTGCACTTTGCTGTTTAATGTTGCAAAACTGTATTCGATATCGCTATTCGGGCCCTCATCCATATCAGTTGCATTCACTCGGATAACCACAATGCCAGTAATACAATTCTCCTGTAATGTCACAGAGTATGACTCTCGACTAAACACAGGGTGATTATCATTGATATCTAGAACAGTAATAGTAATGTTAAGGGTGCCAGATCTCGGAGGATTTCCTCCGTCAACTGCTGTTAAAATGAGCTTGTATGTAGTTGTAATCTCCCTATCAACAGCCTTCTTTAGGACTAAAAATGGCATTTTATCCTCATCACTCTCTCTAACTCGAATTTCAAAATGATCATTAGGACTTAACTTATAAGACCGGATCGAATTCGTTCCAGAATCTGGATCTCCGGCAGCCTGTAACTGATAAGCAGCGCCAGGGAGCGTATTTTCATAAATTCGCAAGCGCTGCTCTTTATCAGGAAAACTAGGAGAATGGTCGTTTATATCTGATATTTCTACTTCTACATAGTGGATCTCGAGTGGATTTTCAATAACAGTTTTTAAGTTTACCATGCAAACACCGCTGCCAGCACACACAGACTCTCTGTCGATTTTCTCATGAACGTACAAAACGCCATTTTCCTGATTTATTTGAAAAAGCTCCTCCTTAGATCCAGAAACGATTCGAAACTGCCTGTCCACCAAACTACTTACTTCAAGACCCAAATCTTTAGCAACATTTCCCACAGCGGTTCCTTCTTTCACTTCTTCTGGAATCGAATATCTTATCTGAGCTGAAACTTGCTGTCCGATGCCAAGAAGAAAAGAAATACACGAAGCAATCCAGCAGTACTCCCATCTGCGTCTTTGTCCTCCAGCTTCCATCACGAGTGATTAGCAAACGGTTTATCTTGGAAATGTATATACCCTCGATTATTAGAGGTCGTAATCGAATGTTTATAGCAAGCATATAATAAGCAAATAAGCAAATATGAAGTCAGTCTTTAGGTAACGTCAGTGCAGCATATTGTTCATGCATCCCGAGCCTTTCCAGTGTGTGTGAAAAAACAATACAGCCCTATTCGCGTCATCATCAGGGGCAGGAATCAATATTCTGAACAAATCCTGAAGCAACACCGACACCAAGTGGTTTAAAATACCTGAAAACATTTTAAAAAGCATCACTGTAAGTTGTACAAAACTGATAAAATATTAACTTTACAAGAATATAAACTCTACAAGAGGTACATATTTAATTATACGTTAAGCAGATTTGTTTACAACATTTAGCAATTTTTCAGGACTGACATTGATGCTTTTTAAAATATTTTCGGGCCTTAATGAAAAAAAAAACATTCCTAATTAACTGCATTTAGTTTCAGCACCTGCGAAGTGAACAGCTCCCTGCAAGCTGTGGTTACTTAAAACACAATCAGACAAAGTTGTCAAATAAAGTACTGAACAGAGTTTTGCGCTATGTGTAAAAAAAAAGTTAGAATCATAACTATAGCGTATAAACACAACAAAGCAAAACAATGACTGTTAGGAGAATTAAACAGCCAGTCTTACCTCCCCAGAATATCTCCTCCTGCGATCTGGGATCACTAGAGTATTTCCATTACTGCCAGGGACTATAGTAGAGCCGATACTCATTCTGGGTCCAACTAACATGTACCGTTTGTCTCCAGATCTGTACTGGATGCTGTGACACAGAGTCCCGTCGTAATTTGTTTCCTGTAAATACTTGGACGAATAGTCTGTCGATTTAGAGCACTGCATCACAATCAACACGATGATGCTGATGACAAAAAGCACTGAAACCGAGCCCAAAGTGATGATCAAATAAAATGTCACGTTGTTTGTCACGTTACTGCTCAGAGACGGAGTTCCAGAGTCTGTAGCGAGCGCGTGGAAGTGGGAAGATTTTAATGTTTCAAAGTCAAAGCTTTTCAACGAATAAACAATACCTGTCTCGGAATTTATATTTAAGAAAGATGACAAATCATTCTGTGTGCCATCACCTCTAATTATGTGATAGGATATGACGGCATTTTCAGCTGTGTCTCGATCAGAGGCGCTTACTGAAATTATGGAGGAACCGGCTGCATTGTTTTCCATTAAGTAGAGATCTAGAGGATTTAATAAAAATTCCGGAGCATTATCATTCACATCAGAAATCTGAACGCTTAAAGTGGTCGATGCAGTCAAAGACGGCTGACCTAAATCAGAGGCAGTTATTGTAATGTCATATCGTGAATTCATCTCTCTATCTAACCGATCTTTTGTCACTAAAGAGTACATATTGTCTTTGAAAGAAGGCTTTAGTTCAAAGGGAATATTTGTGTTTAACTGACAAATCACTTTACCATTGATCCCTGCGTCTTTATCAGTCACACTGACGAGAGAAATTACCGTTCCAGGTTTAGAATCTTCAGGGATGTTCTTAGAAAGCGATGTAATCTCAATCTCAGGCCGGTTGTCATTCACATCAATAATCTTAATAACAACTCTACAGTTTGCAGACATTGGTAGATGCCCCTTATCTGAGGCTTGAATATCGAGTTTATAAACTTCTGTATCTTCAAAATCCACTTCCCCCTTTACACGTATTTCACCTGTGACCTGATCGAGCTCAAAAACCTCGTGCACTTTACTGTTTAACGTTGAAAAACTGTATTCAATATCACTGTTTGTGCCCTCATCCATATCAGTTGCATTTACTCGAACAACCATAGTGCCAATAACAGAGTTTTCCGACAGTGTCACAGAGTATGACTCTCGACTAAATACAGGGCGATTATCATTGATATCTAGAACAGTAATAGTAATGTTAAGGGTGCCAGATCTCGGAGGATTTCCTCCGTCAACTGCTGTTAAAATGAGTTTGTATGTAGTTGTAATCTCCCTATCAACAGCCTTCTTAAGGACTAAAAATGGCATTTTATCCTCATCACTCTCTCGAACTCGAATTTCAAAATGATCATTAGGACTTAACTTATAAGACCGCACCGAATTTGTTCCAGAATCTGGATCTCCGGCAGCCTGTAACTGATAATCAGCGCCAGGGAGCGTATTTTCAGAAATTCTGAGACGCTGCTCTTTTTCAGGAAAACTAGGAGAATGGTCGTTTATATCTGATATTTCTACTTCTACATAATGGATCTCGAGTGGATTTTCAATAACAGTTTTTAAGTTTACCATGCAAACACCGCTGCCAGCACACACAGACTCTCTGTCGATTTTCTTATGAACGTACAAAACGCCATTTTCCTGATTTATCTGAAAAAGCTCCTCCTTAGATCCAGAAACGATTCGAAACTGCCTGTCCACCAAACTACTTACTTCAAGACCCAAATCCTTTGCGATATTTCCGACTGCGGTTCCTTCTTTTACTTCTTCTGGAACTGAATATCTTATCTGAGCTGAAACTTGCTGTCCGATGCCAAGAAGAAAAGAAATACACAAAGCAATCCAGCAGTACTCCCATCTGCGCCTTTGTCCTCCAGCTTCCATCACGAGTGATTAACGAACCTTTTATCTTGGAAATGTATATACCCTCGATTATTAGAGGTCGTAATCGAATGTTTATAGCAAGCATATAATAAGCAAATAAGCAAATATGAAGTCAGTCTTTAGGTAACGTCAGTGCAGCATATTGTTCATGCATCCCGAGCCTTTCCAGTGTGTGTGAAAAAACAATACAGCCCTATTCGCGTCATCATCAGGGGCAGGAATCAATATTCTGAACAAATCCTGAAGCAACACCGACACCAAGTCTCGACTATTAGAAGTCGTAGTTGGATGTTTATGGCAAGTACATAATGAGAAAATAAGAAAATACGTAATAGGTCTTTTTAAGCACCGTCAGTACGTTCATGCATACAAAGCCTTTTCAGTGTGTGTTAAAAAAAACAATACAGCCCTACTCGCGTCATCATCAGGGGCAGGACTCAATATTCTGAACAAATCCTGGAGCAATACCGACACCAAGTGGTTTCAAAACACTTGAAAATATTTTGAAATAAACCACTGTCAGTCATAAAAACATGAAAATAATAACCAGCCGTTGTATCCTATATCTGCGTCATAGGCTCTGACTTTAGTCACCAAATGACCTGCGTTCACATTACGAGGAATCTCTTCCACACCCTCAGCAGAACCGTTAGCGCTGACTGGATATAAGATCACTGGAACGTTGTCGTTCTGATCCAGAATAAACACGTTCACTGTCACGTTACTGCTCAGTGGTGGAGATCCTGAATCCTTTGCAAGAACTTGGAACTGAAACGTTCTAATTACTTCAAAGTTAAAGCGGTTTAAGGCGTAAATAACTCCCGTTTCAGAATTAATGTTCAAGAAAGTCGCTATATCATTTTGTGCAGCGTCCCCTCTAATCATATAGTAAGTAATCATTGCATTTTCAGTTAAATCTTTATCAAATGCGCTCACAGACATTATGGGGGCACCAGGTGTGTTATTTTCTACTAAATATAATTCAAGCCGATCTTTAGAAAATTCAGGACGGTTATCGTTAACATCTGATACCTGAACGCTCAGAGACTTAAAGGTTGATAAAGGAGGCTGTCCTAAATCAGTGACTATTATTGGTATGTCATAATGGGACACGAGTTCTCGATCTAATTTTCCCTTCGTTACAAGGGAATAAATATTCTCTTGAACTGATGGTTTCAGCTCAAAAGGAACATTATCAGAAACACTTGGTACTATCTTCCCATTTATACCAGAGTCTTTGTCACTGATGCTAATTAATGAAATTACAGTGCCAGGTTTAGAATCCTCAGAAACAACACTGGAAAGAGAAGTTACGTCTATTTCAGGGGCGTTGTCATTTATGTCTATTATCTTAATAGTAACGACAGATTCAACGATCCACGGAGGCTGGCCTTTATCAGATGCCTGTACGTCTAATTTGTACACCTCCGTTTCCTCAAAGTCCAGTTCACCTTTAATATGAATTTCTCCTGTGGCACTATCCAGTTTAAAGAGATCGTAAACTTTGCGCTTCAGGTTTCTTCCAAAGGCATATTCTACAACACCATTTGAACCCTCGTCCAAATCAGTTGCGTTAAGTTTTATCAACACAGTTCCGAGTGCAGCATTTTCTTTTACTGCTACAGAATAGGAGTCTTGACTAAACACGGGACGGTTATCATTAACATCAAGAACAGTAACAATTATGTTAAGATTTCCTGACCGTGGTGGATTTCCACCATCGATTGCAGTTAGTATTAATTTATGTTCTGCGGCGTTTTCACGATCAAGCGCTTTCTTTAAAACTAAAAGCGGTATTTTTTCCTCATCTCTATCCTTTGTCTCAACTTCGAAATGCTCATTATGACTCAGTTTATACGACCGAACATTATTCACGATCGTATCAGCATCTCGTGCTGCCTGTATCTGGAAACGCGTCCCTGTGGGTGTGTGTTCTGCAATTTCAAAATGCTGCTCCTCTTCTGTAAATGTGGGTGAATTATCATTAACATCAGTTACCTCCACTACAACATAGTGTATCTCTAAAGGATCTTCGACCACCATTTTCAGATTAATCAAGCATGCGCCATTTCCATCACACAGCTCCTCTCTGTCGATTTTCTTATGGACATATAAGACGCCATTGTTTTGATTTACCTCAAAAAGAGCGTCCTTTGATCCAGAAACGATACGGAACCTCCTGTTTACTAAAGTGCTGACATCAAGGCCAAGATCCTTAGCAATATGTCCTACAATGGATCCTTCTTTCAATTCTTCTGGAATAGAATATCTTATCTGCGCTGAAACTTGCTGTCCAAAACACAGAAGCAAAGAGAAACACAAAGCAATCCACCAACACTCCCATTTGCGCCTTTGTCCTCCGGTTTCCATGATGGAACGATTACTGTGAGACTGCCAGAAATATATCCTCGGCGATTACAAACAACAGTATAAAGTACAATTTATCTGCATAATGCAAAACAATTTAACTGAAAACATGTAGAGAACAGATCACATACTTAAACGCCTTTTCGGATCGTACCATCCAGGATAAGGAAGACAATACACGTCTGCGCGTCATTATCCTGGGCTGGACTTAAAACTTGAAAACAAAAATTAGAGCAACACTGACACTGAGTGGAGCATTGGACCTTTCAAGTCACCTCCAGCGTTAGCGTTGACAGTATCTTTCAATTTGCAGAACCTTGAACATTTCTTAAAATATGTTTTATGGTTGGAATTGAAAAAAAAAATCATTTTTATTAATCGGCAAAAAATATATTTGCACACTTCATGTTGCTTCAAAAAACGAAGTGACAGACAGCGTTTGTCTCAACAAAAAAAAAAAAAAAATAAAAATAATAATAATAATAATAATAAACTATGCACAAAACTATGCAACACACAGAGTGTGATTTTGGACACCAGCAGGGCTTGTTTAAAATAATATAAAATACAGTTTATTCTTTCAAGTAAAAGATTCAAATGTAGGCTACCTAAGAGTAAGCAACATCTTAATGTCCATTTTGAGAAAAGTTATGCAAACTGCAATAAATAATTGACATTATATAAATACCAATCTAAATACCGAATAAAATCCTTACGAAAACCTAAGTAAAATTAAAATTACCCTTACCTCTCCAGAGTCTCTCCTCCTGCGATCTGGGATGACTAGAGTATTTCCATTACTGCCAGGGACTATAGTAGAGCCGATACTCATTCTGGGTCCAACTAACATGTACCGTTTGTCTCCAGATCTGTACTGGATGCTGTGACACAGAGTTCCGTCGTAATTTGTATCCTGTAAATACTTGGACGAATAGTCTGTTGATTTAGAGCACTGCATTACAATCAACACGATGATGCTGATGACAAAGAGCACTGAAACCGAGCCCAAAGTGATGATCAAATAAAATGTCACATTGTTTTCCTCCTCGTCTTTTATTGTGTTTTTCACATCAGAAGCTGCAAAAGCCTCTTTGGGCTCCACAACTTTGACAATCACAGTCGCTGTTGCTGAAAGTGAAATGTTCCCATTGTCTTTGACCAGTATGAGCAGTTTATGCTGGGTCTCGTCTGTTTCTGTGAATGAGCGAAGGGTCCTTATCTGTCCTGTGTAGCGGTCCAAACCAAAGAGACTGTGGTCACTAACTTCCTGCAGTGAAAATAATAACCAGCCGTTGTATCCTATATCTGCGTCATAGGCTCTGACTTTAGTCACCAAATGACCTGCGTTCACATTACGAGGAATCTCTTCCACACCCTCAGCAGAACCGTTAGCGCTGACTGGATATAAGATCACTGGAACGTTGTCGTTCTGATCCAGAATAAACACATTCACTGTCACGTTACTGCTCAGAGACGGAGTTCCAGAGTCTGTAGCGAGCGCGTAAAATTGAAAGGTTTTGACAGTCTCAAAATCAAAGCTTTTAAGTGCATAAATTGCGCCTGTCTCAGAATTAATATTTAGAAAAGATGTCATGTCCCTTTGTGTCCCATTTCCTTTAATAAGCTGATATGAAATCATAGAGTTTTCATTTAGGTCTTTGTCAAAAGCATTCAGCGTAAGAATGGGCGCGCCTGCAGCGTTGTTTTCAATCATATATAACTCGATGGGATTTAGGCTGAATTCAGGCGGGTTATCATTAACATCTGACACCTGCACGCTCAGAGTTTTATATGAGGACAGTGGAGGCTGACCCAAGTCGCTCGCTGTTATTGTAATGTCATAATGTGATACAGTTTCACGGTCCAGATTCCCTTTAGTCACTAACGAGTACATGTTTTCCTGAACTGATTGTTTTAATTCAAATGGAACGTTTTCTGAGAGAGAACACACAACTTTCCCATTAACACCAGCGTCTCTGTCAGTTACACTGATGAGTGAGATTACAGTACCAGGCTTGGAGTCTTCAGGCACCATTCTCGACAGTGACGTCACTTCAATCTCTGGTTTATTATCGTTTGTGTCGACTATTTTTACAACAGCTCTGCAGTCTGTTGTCATAGGGGGCTGGCCTCTATCAGATGCTTGAACATCAAGTTTGTAAATAGATTTGTCCTCAAAATCTACATCACCTTTCACACGAATGTCACCAGTCATCTTATCCAAACTAAATAATTCATAAACCTTTGGGTTCTGATCGCTGCCAAAAACGTAGGTGACCTCTCCATTTGAACCATAATCTGCATCACTTGCTTGAACCTGAATGACTAGTGTTCCAATTTGTATATTTTCCTTTAAAGTTGTAGAATACATATCTTGGCTAAAAACAGGTCTATTGTCATTTATGTCCAGGACGTTAATTGTAATATTTAGTTTCCCTTATCTTTGAGTATTCCCTCCATCTACAGCCGTTAAAACTAAATTATATTCGTCATTGTAGTTTTCTGTTTCTGTCAGACTACATGTACCATAAGCCCTTGTGTTCCCTGTGTAGCTGCATAATTTTTTATGTCAACCAATAAACATTCACTGGTTTCTCTGATGGGTGACTGGGCTGATCAGAAATCAGTAACTT